AATACAATAATACAAAATTATGGGAATTCAAAAACTTTTAATACACCACGCAACGGAATGTTAAATAGCAATCAAGGTCATCAATTCACCTGTCTTAAATAGAAAACCGTACAACCGTAGGAACCGTATTTCATAGTTCAAAACATACAAATAAGAAAAATACATCCGTACATGATGCTGCCTTTACAAAGTCGTCGTTTTCTGATATGCGCTACTCGTGCTCCTCGGGATTTGAAAAATTCAACAACGGAGGGCTAAACATAATGCTTAATGAGCGGTTCGGGTTGAGGCCGGAGAGCCCATTCTCATGGAGAACGGAGCCAATTAATATCTCTATACAAGAATTTCCGTATTTTCACTTATCCATTTTAATTTCATGCAACGGTCCATTATAACTTATTAGTTCTAATTATTATTCTACGCATTATCGATATCATCTAGTACTGACTCAAATCGTCTACCGGTACCAGACTCAACCCTGCTTTTGTGTAATAATATTGACTCTGCTTCGTCAACTGGTACTATTACAAAGACGGCCACGCAGATCCACCAGTACTGACTCCACGTTGTCAACCGTACTAGCTTCACTAAACATTCCTACAACAGTATTGACTTCACTTCGTCAACCGGTATTGTTGCAGGAGCATCCACCCAAAAACACCAGTATTGACTCCATTCGCCTACCGGTACAAGTTCTACCCCATATTTCTATAATAGTACTGACTCCACTTCGTCAACCGGTACTATCATAGAATATCCACACAAACTGCCAGTACTGACTCAATTCGTCAACCTGTACTGAATATACTTCCCCTTTTTCCCTGTACTAGTACTGACTCCACGTCGTCAACCGGTACTAAGTACAGGCTCCATCAATCATTCAATCACATGCATATTCACAACCATTTATCTTCTGTTCCTGCATCACCATTCCCCAATTCTCTCCTGAATTATTCCTTACACTCATATTGGTTTGCAATTTCATTCTCTACATATATGCATGTCCGCATTTCTCACATTCGTTTAATCAACTTACTTCATCGTTTATATTCAATTTCAACTTAGCGTCTCGTTCTAGTTCGATCGTATAGTCGGAGTTGCAGCCAGTCCGTTCAGTCCACTCACTACAAAAAAACTGTCATTTTCCAACAGATTCTTTCGTTGGAATTATTTCAACGGATTTCCAACAGATATCCGTTGCATTAATTTTAACGGATTTTCAACGAAATTCCAACGGACGTGTAACGAATATTCCCGTTAGAAATCCGTTGGAATTTCCAACGGCATATCAACGGATAGCAACGTTGAAAATTTTCTACGCAAATTACGACGAATATCCGTTGAAATTTACGGCCAAAATTTTCCAACGGCTTTCCCTTGGAATAATCTGACTGTTATCTAACGTTTGACTTATTCCAACGGATATCCATTGGAATATATAACGGTCGAAGAATTCCAACGGATTTCTAACGGACATCCATTGGAATGTTCTTCTATATAAGTCATCTGACCATTATTCTCCCAAACCACTCTCTAAATCATTCTTCTACTATCCTTACACCGAAAATTCTCCCCAAAATGGCTTCTTCAACAAATCCAAATATATGTTCATCCCTACAATGGATATATGAAAGAGTTGATCCGATTACAAAAGAGGTAACACAAGAATTCATTACCGATTTGGAGCAATTTATGAATTTTGCTTCCATGCAACCATTGTGCCAAGAATGTAGAAAAATGTTATGTCTGTGTACAAGCTGTCAGAATTTTAAATATCGCAGTCAAGAAGATGTTTGTAAACATCTATTTCGAAGGGGTTTTGTGGATGACTGTTACATTTGGCAATTTCATGGAGAAGAAGTTCGGACAATCACAATGACGGGACATATGTCGGCCAATCAGAGGTATGATGTAGATGAAGTTTTAAGAAATCCTTATGTTGAAATGGTGACAGATGCTTTTCCTGGGGCATCGGTTGATCAAAACTCACAAGAGGAGGAGCCAAACGTCGAAACAAAACGGTTTTTCGACATGATGCATATGACAAATCATCCTATCTATGAAGGATGTAAAGATGGTCAGTCTCGTTTATCTCTGGTATCAAGATTGATGAGTATGAAAACGGATTACAATATCATAAAAAGTTGCATGGATTCATTTTGTCAAACATTGCGTGAGTATTTATCTGAAAAATAATGAAACTCCAGAATCGTATTATGATACGAAGACTATGCTGAAGAATTTGGGAATGTCTTATGAAAAGATTGTGTTAGCAAACAACTGAAGGTTTACAAGCAGTTCACTCATGAATTGAAAAGGTCTCTAAAGATGACAGCTAAGAAGTGAGCTGGCAAGAAGTTTATTTTTATTTCGTATGTTTTGTATTTTTATTCCAGCTTTGTATTTTGTTTCTCTGTAGTGGGAAGACTTGGGTAGTTTTATTTCCTTGTTATTAGGAGAAGTTATTTCCCTTACGTTTGTGTACTTTTAAATGCTAAGAAGGAAATGGAAGGAGATATCTTGAAAATCCAATTCAGTCTTTGAGCACTTAGTCTCAAGAGGTTATTAGGTTTCCTCTCGTGAGCCTAAATTACAGCAATCATAGGTCGTAAGAGGAAAAATCCCAGCCAAATCATCCACACACCCATCGAATTCCTACCGCCCCGACCAATAACGAGATTCATAACCCGGGACCGTAACAGATTGGTATCAGAGCCTGGCCGATTCTATCCAAGAACAACTCAATAAACTTTTTCACTTAATCGTCTCTGAGCAGAAGGCCAATCAATCCCGAAATGAGAAGGTCGATCAACTACATGCCAAACTGGATGCAATGTCTCTCGAATTAGAATCTGCCAAGAAAGGGATTTCTTCATCAACAACGGAAAGCCATCAAAGAACAAGCAAGGATAAAGGAATTGTTGGTGCGGCACGATCTGAGAAATCTGGAGGAAATTTGATTGCACCAAAATTTACCAAACTAGAGTTTCCTCGCTTCAATGGGTTAGAAGACCCTTTGGGGTGGTTGAGTCGTTGTGAGCATTTTTTCAGACATCAAGCAACAACAGAAGAAGAAAAGGTGAGTTTAGCTTCTTATCATTTAGAAGGGATAGCTCAGCTATGGTACATGCAAATGTTGGACGATGCACCAAATCCGACTTGGGAAGAATTTTCGCATCAATGCAATCTTCGGTTTGGTCCTCCTATCCGCAACAACAAACTAGGCGAATTGGCGAAACTCAGGCAACTGGGGTCCGTAGAAAATTATCAAAACAGGTTTGAGGTTTTGTTGTCTCGTGCTTGCACACTTACCCAATTTCAGAAGGTATAGCTTTATATCAGTGGCTTGCATGAAGCAATTGCAGTTGACGTGGAGCTTCATCAACCCCAAGATTTGGTTACTGCAATGAGTATGTCCAGACTTTATGAGCGCAAGTTGTTTTCATGACTTCCGAATTTCTGCGATAACCGAAAACCTACTACGGATATGGAGATTCGCAAAAACCGCTCGATTAAAAAACTGAGTAGAGAGGAGATGGAAGAACAGAGAAAAAAAGGTCTTTGCTTCAATTACGATGAAGCCTTCGTTCGAGGGCATCAACGCAAAAAACTTTTCTGGATCGATGTTGAAGATGACAGAGAGGTTGAAGATTCAACTTCCGATAAGATTGAGGACCTTCCATATCCAGAAATTGCTTTGAATGCTGTTACCAGAATCCGAAATCCTCAATCGATGCGTCTTATAGGAATATGGCAAGGAGGAAAAGTTCGAGTCCTCATTGATTTAGGCAGTACACACAGTTTTGTTTCTGCATCTGTTGCTGATCAACTCAGGCACCAATGGACAAAAGGGATGGATTCAAGGTTAACGTCACCAATGGAGAAAAACTCAGCAGCCCGGGTATTTGTAGAAAAACCTTGCTGCACTTGGACTCTTACTCCTTCTCTTATGATTCATTTGTGCTACCACTATCTGATTTTGATGTGGTCTTGGGAGTAAATTGGCTACGCACATCGGGACCCATTCTATGGGATTTTGCCCTTATGTGTATGTCGTTTTTTGTACAAGGACAAAAAATTGAGTTAAGAGGAATTCATACTACTGCTCCAAAGTTCTTATCGGAAGTAAGTTGTATCCAAAGTTCACAAGAGGTAGATATACAGTTACAGAAGTTGTTGGCTGATTTCATGGTATTATTCAGTTCTCCATCTACACTTCCTCCTAGTCGATCTTGTGATCACAAAATTTCTCTAGAACCTGGTGTCGGTCTTGTGGTGGTCCGTCCATATAGGTACCCCCATGGACAGAAAGACGAAATTGTGAGGCAATGCACAAGTATGCTCGAGCAAGGACTAATCAGACATAGCCAATCACCGTTCTCATCGCCTGTCATTTTGGTACCCAAGGTGGATGGCACATGGAGATTATGTGTGGATTACAGGGAGCTCAACAGCAAAACAATCAAGGATAAATTTTCAATTCCTATGATTGAGGAATTATTGGAGGAATTGGGAAACGCCCACTTTTTTACGAAATTGAATTTGTTATCGGGATATCATCAAGTCCGCATGTCCGTTCTAAATATTGAGAAAACGGATTTCAGGACGCATCATGGTCATTTCGAATTTCTGGTGATGCCGTTTGTGTTGAATAATAATATTGATTCAAGGCATCCATAGTCAAGAGTTGGTTTTTCAATGTGTCTTAATTAGTCTAGAAGTTTGAGAGAATTATTGGGTGAGGAAATTGAGGGTTGAATGCATGTATGCATGTATGAAGTTTGTGCCTTTTGTTAGTATAAATATGGGTGTGTAGGATGTGTCCAAAACACAAGGAAAAACACATGAGGGAAAAGTGTTGTAAGAGAGAAAAGTCGTATGGATATATATGAAAGAGTTTATGAGTGTTACTTGTGAATTCGGGAAGTATCACTGAGCGTGGTCCATTTTATATAGTTCTTTTAAGAGCTAACAAAGTGGTATCAGAGCGGTGGTTCGTAATGGCCAGCTCGAGTATATCTTTCCCGATTCCAAAGCTCACGAAGGAGAATTATGAGAGGTGGAGTATCCAAATGAAGGCGTTTCTTGGAGGCCAAGACGTGTGGGATGCAATCGAAGAGGAGTATCATGAACCGGAGGATTTGGTTACAGCGACTTCCGACGTAAAGAAAGCGGCGAAGGAGGCAAAGGTGAAGGACCAAAGAGCCTTGTCATTCATCCAACTCAGCATGGATGATTCGATATTTGAAAAGATTGCACACGCCACATCGTCAAAGATGGCTTGGGATACTTTGGCAAATTCCTTCAAAGGTATCGATAAGGTGAAGAAGATGGGACTTCAATCTCTTCGTGGTGAGTTTGAAGCATTGCAAATGAAAGAATCTGAAGAAGTATTTGATTATATCTCTCGAGTGATTGCGGTGACTAACCAACTTGAGAGTAATGGTGAAAAGATGAAAGCTAGTAGAATTGTGGAGAAGATACTTCGGTCTCTCACTCCGAAGTTTGATCACATCGTGGTTGCGATCGAGGAGTCGAATGTCATCGATGACATGACGGTGGACGAGCTCTCTGGAAAGCTACAAGTCCATGCAGAAAAATTTAAGAAGAGGAACAAAGAACCTATGGAGCACGTACTCCAAGCGAAGGTGAATCTCAGTGAAAAGACATTTGATGATCAGAATCAAAGCGGTCGCGGTCGCGGTCGTGGTCGTGGACGCGGTCGTGGTCGTGGTCGTGGCAGAGGACGCGGTCGAAGCCGTGGACGAGAAGGTGATGGAGATTTGTGGCACCAAAATTATTCTGACCGAGGAGGACGATCTGGCAGAGGGCGTGGTAACTCTCATAGGTTCAACAAAGGTGATGTTGAATGTTACAATTGTCACAAATATGGACACTATGCCTATGAGTGTTATGCAGGCCAAAATGAGAGAAAGGAGCAAGTTAACTATGCTGAGAAAAATAATGTGGTAGAAGACACGGTGTTGCTTGCACGAAATAGCTCGGACGGAGAAGCACACCAAACTTCGTATCTTGATACCGGTGCGAGCAACCATATGTGTGGTTCTCGTCATATGTTTGTGGAGATTGACGAGTCAGTGACAGGGTCTATTTCTTTCGGAGATCTGTCGAAAATCTCCGTCAAAGGAAAAGGCAAGATCTTGATCAAGTTAAAGAATGGAGGCCATCAGTACATCTCAAATGTGTACTATGTGCCAGGTATGAAAGCTAATATTCTCAGTATTGGTCAGTTACTTGAGAAAGGTTATAACATTTCATCCAGGGATCAGAGTATCTATCTTAGAGATGGCAACGGAAAACTTCTGTCCTGTGTTCCGATGGATGAAAATCAAACATTCAAACGGATGTGGGAAAATGCTTGAAGACATGTTTTGAAGAGGAGTCTTGGTTGTGGCATCTAAGGCTCGGGCACCTTAACTTTGGTGGCTTGAGGTTGCTGTCAACAAAGAGGATGGTGAATGGTTTACCACCCATTGATCAGCCAAACCAAGTGTGTGAAGGTTGTTTGGTGGGAAAGCAACATCGACAAAGTTTTCCAAAGGAGTCATTGACAAGAGCAAAGGAACTCCTTGAGTTGATACACACCGATGTGTGTGGCCCTCTTGATCCGCTATCTTTCGGGAATAACAGGTACTTCTTGTTGTTCATCGATGATTATAGTAGAAAGACATGGGTTTATTTTTTGAAGGAGAAGTCAGAGGTGTTTTCGGCATTCAAGAGGTTTAAGGCCCTTGTTGAAAGACAGAGTGGCTATGAAATTAAATCGTTGAGATCAGATCGAGGTGGTGAGTTTACATCAAAGGAGTTCAAGATGTTTTGTGATGAGAATGGTATTCGAAGGCCGCTTACTGTTCCATATTCACCACAACAGAATGGCGTTGCAGAGAGAAGGAACAAGACTATCTTGAATATGGTCCGTAGTATGTTGAAGAGTAAGAATCTACCGAAAGAGTTTTGGGCTGAAGCCGTTGACTGTGCGGTTTATTTGTTAAACCGATGTCCAACGAAGAGTGTGTGGAATGCGACACCTCAAGAAGCATGGAGCGGATACAAACCAAATGTATCTCATCTAAAAGTTTTTGGTAGTCTTGCATATGTTCATGTTCCAGAACAACAAAGGAAGAAGCTTGATGATCGGAGTTCGAAATACATCTTTGTGGGGTACAGTCAACACTCAAAAGGTTACAAGTTGTATGATCCCATCCAGAAGAAACTCAAGATTAGCCGAGATGTAGTGGTGGATGAGAAAGGTGCATGGGATTGGAATTCAAAAGATAAAGAGAAACTTACTTTTTATCCTTTTGTGATTAGGAATGCTCAAGAAGGGGAGTTTGAGCAGGAGGTCTCGATATCAACTCCACAATCGGGTTTTGAAGTCGGGTCCAGTTCAGGGACATCTGCATCAGCGGAAGATAGCCTTGACGCTGTTGGACCAAGAGGAACAAGGAGTTTGCAAGATATTTATGATCTTAATCAAAATCAGACCTTGTTCTGTCTCTTTGCAGATACAGAACCAATCAACTTTGTTGGAGCATCAAAGGATGAAAAGTGGAGAAAGGCCATGGATGATGAAATCACGGCCATAAAGAAAAATGAGACGTGGGAGTTGACTACTTTGCCGAGAGGACATAAACCCATTGGTGTGAAGTGGGTATTCAAGATCAAGAGAAACTCGAAAGGAGAGGTTGAAAGGTACAAGGCCAGACTCGTGGTCAAAGGTTACAAGCAACGGGCAGGTATTGATTATGACGAAGTATTTGCTCCGGTTGCACGTCTTGAAACCATACGGTTGCTTATCTCACTTGCAGCTAGAAAGCAGTGGAAATTATACCAAATGGACGTGAAGTCAGCATTCTTGAATGGAGTTCTTGAAGAAGAAGTTTACATCGAACAACTTGAGGGATACGTTGCTCAAGGTCAGGAGGATCGTGTTCTAAAGTTGAAAAAAGCTCTATATGGTTTGAAGCAGGCACCAAGGGCTTGGAATAGTCGGATTGATCAGTATTTTCGGAAGAACGGGTTCATAAAATGCCCCCATGAGTATGCTATGTATGTGAAGGTACACAAAGGTGATGTTTTGATCGCATGTCTTTATGTGGATGATTTGGTTTTCACAGGAAGTGATCCTCAGATGTTTGAAGTATTTAAGAAGGCGATGACAAAAGAGTTTGAGATGACAGACATCGGGTTGATGGCATACTATCTTGGTATTGAAGTGCATCAACGAGGTGATGGTGTTTTTATCTCACAAGAGCAATACTCGAAACAAGTTTTGAAAAGGTTCAACATGATGGAGTGTAATCCGATAAGCACTCCCATGGAAGTTGGAGAGAAATTGTCTAAGTATTGTGAAGGAGATGCTGTCGATCCCACTATGTTCAAGAGTTTGGTTGGAAGCTTGAGGTACTTGACATGTACGAGACCAGATATTTTGTTTGCGGTTGGCATTGTTAGCCGACATATGGAGCAACCGACATCTTATCATTTGAAAGTGGCTAAGAGGATTCTTCGGTATGTTAAGGGAACTCTCAGTATGGGCATGTTTTATCCATCATCCGGAGAAGGCGATTTGAGAGGTTTTAGTGATAGTGATTGGACAGGAGATCCTGACGACAGGAAAAGTACATCTGGGTTTGTTTTCTACTATGGTTCGACGGCATTCACATGGTTATCGAAGAAACAACCGATTGTGACTTTATCGACTTGTGAGGCTGAGTACGTTGCAGCGACATCTTGCGTTTGTCATTCGATATGGCTCAGGAGATTGTTACAGGAACTTCAGTTTGGAGAAGGTGACCCTACGGAGATTTATGTTGATAACAAATCGGCAATCGCTTTGGCAAAGAATCCGGTGTATCATGATCGAAGTAAGCACATCGATACTCGGTTTCATTTTATTCGTGAGTGCATTGCGAAGAAAGAAGTTCAAGTGAAACATGTGAAGACTGAAGACCAAGTTGCGGACATCTTTACGAAGTCGTTGAAGAAGGAGGTTTTTGAGAAGCTGCGTTACAAGCTTGGATTGAGAGAATCAAGCTTAGGAGGGAATGTTGAATAATAATCTTGATTCAAGGCATCCATAGTCAAGAGTTGGTTTTTCAATGTGTCTTAATTAGTCTAGAAGTTTGAGAGAATTATTGGGTGAGGAAATTGAGGGTTGAATGCATGTATGCATGTATGAAGTTTGTGCCTTTTGTTAGTATAAATATGGGTGTGTAGGATGTGTCCAAAACACAAGGAAAAACACATGAGGGAAAAGTGTTGTAAGAGAGAAAAGTCGTATGGATATATATGAAAGAGTTTATGAGTGTTACTTGTGAATTCGGGAAGTATCACTGAGCGTGGTCCATTTTATATAGTTCTTTTAAGAGCTAACAGTTTGGACTAACAAATGCTCCTTCAACGTTTCAAGCATTGATGAATGAGGTATTTCAACCTTGGCCAAGGAAATTTGTTTTGGTTTTCATTGATGATATCTTGGTTTTCAGGAACTTGGGCCGAACATCATCATCTGCGGCTGGTATTCCAAGTTTTAGCAGTTAACAAATTATTCCTCAAGAAATCCAAGTGCACGATTTGCTCAACATCAAGTTGCTTACTTGGGCCATGTGATAACAACCAATGGCATACAGGTTGATCAATCAAAAATTTCAGCAGTATTGGATTGGCCTAAACCAACAACAATTCGAGGATTGCGTGGATTTTTAGGACTTACTGTTAGAATATATGCAACAACTACAAAATGGAAAGAATAATATGCATCTTCACGAAATGGAAAAAGAAGGAGAAATGGAAAGTTTGCAAATCAAACAAATTTGATTCTGCATTAGAGACATCCGATTATGCCATAATTCTAGTTGTTTATTTTTGTACTAGCCGTTATTGTTTTGTGTATATATTCTAAAGTATATTCTATGAAATAAACAAGAAGTCAAGAAGGGACGAAGTCCCATTTTCTTCAACAACTCTCGACCTTCTCTTTTTCCATACGTTCTAAACTCTTTTCCTTTAGTTCTACAACCGCAAATACACTCAATCTTATATATTTCTACATGGTATCAGAGCGTAAAGGTCCATGAACTCCACTGTTCCAAATTTCTTTTAATTAATTCCGCTGCACGAAACTCTCGGTCATATACAAACCGAGAAGAGTTTGAGTTTTTTCTTTTTATCCTTTTCATCTGCCATATACATCTCTAAAAGGTCACATGAGGTGTACGTGGGATGATTTTGGAGGCCTTGAAGATGAAGAAGGAAATCATTGTTCATACATCGAACATGCCAACGGTGTTATAGAACAATTTTGGTGTACCAAGGAAGAGGTTGACGCATGGAATAAACTCTCCATAGAAGAAGTTCAAGCCATGTGTGTAGATGACGAACCATATGGGGAAGAACAAACCGAGGGGGAATGGGATGTAGAAGACATCCTAAATCAACTCCCACTACAAATCAAAGAGGCGTTGGTGCAAACGGCCAATGCAAATAATTTTGAGTTAAGTATCTCGCTTCTTGAAGATCTCTTTAAAACTAATGAATTTGCTATATTGGTTAAAAGAGTTCGAGAAGAAAGCCAAAGAGAGTCTCCCACAAATAAGAGAGAGGACAAAATAAAGTGGAAGAACTAATATTGCAAGACGAGGTTGGTGGTCATGGAGAGGAGATTGAATCGATCATAATGGAGGACAAAAACAAAGGGAGTGAAGAATCTACCATTGAAGAGGATGGCCTCATAATGGAACAAGAAATTTCCAAAGAGGAAGCATTAACCATGGAGATTATAGCACATCTCCATCCAACTCCTCCAATCAAACCGAAGAATACATTCTCATGGTTTCACAACCGGGTTTGCAGTCTCTTTCTTTCACCAATTCGTTTAAATATGTGTTTTCCAAATAATATGGTTGGTTGTTTAAGTGTGCTTGCACAACCATTGATAGACGATTTCTTCAAGATTAACAAACACACGAGTGAGGGGGAATGTGATGGTATCCTCGTGTGCTTTCCAAGCGAAAACAATGCATCAAATGGAGAAACATCAAAGCAAGCAACAAATGATTCAAATCTGTCCAATATAGAGGTTGAATTTCCTATTAGTTATGAACACTTTAGGTTAGGTAAATTTCCATCTCATACTTTTATATTTGATCCCGGTACGTTTGAACATACATATTTCAATGAAAAACAAAGTATCATTGTTAGAAATATTCTTGATTATGCATATGATACATATAGGAGAATAGATAACATGTTTTATACATTTGATGAGTATTTAAGTAATATGTTTCGTATAAATAAAAAACCAAATATCTATCTCATTAATCAAACAATGTTTTATGCATTCATATCATCAAAGTTAAAA